CTTCGGTGTACTTCCCCTCGCGCAGCACTATCTATCGGTAGTGCACTATCTATCGGAGGGGAAGTCAAGGATGACATAGAGGCATTATGTGGCTCATGCACGGAACCTGAAGTTCCGACTGATGGCTTGAAGATACTAGCGATTTCACGCATACAATCAGCATGGGATTATAAGTGTAGCGTTTTTTATGTACAGTTCGTTGAAGCATAGCTTAAAACATGAGGGTTGAGTTTCGCCATATTCAACCAGTTTTCTCCTAGCAAGGCGAATAGCTGCTGAATAGTCTTCACTAACAGTGATATTTTCTTCCTTCAGCTTAGAACAGCTAATGAGTATTTGTTGTTTTACCTCGTGAGAAGAAAACTCTAGAATGATCAGCCGGCATTTATTTGAACTGCAGCCACCAAGCATGTGTATTCGTTTGATTAGTATGTGAAAGGGTGACAATTTTCAGTTCGCTGAAAGCACCTTGACCAGCTTTTTCTGTGACTGAGCACAGGACCCCGACTGGGCATCAGGCAGGCCCTAAAGTAAAAGGCTGCCTCACTGCTGTCTGTTCTCTTGCTGAGCTCGCTTAGCATGAACTTAGCAAGATGGCTAATCGACTTAAGAAGAGGCTGTATCTCTACTTCCTCTACATTCGTTAATCGGTTGTCTAAGAAAAACAATTTCTGCAAAATTTGCCTGTGTTTTTCTGGATCATCAACAGATTTGAATAAATCCGTTTGGTTCTTGTTCATTTTTTCGGTATGCGTTTTCACAGCTTGAAGTATCGCGAACATCTTTTTTATTTAACCCGGGAATCAGGGAGAGGGCTATGCATTTGGCCTCTTGTTTTAGTTTTAGAGTGCAGTTCGATGACACCGGACAGCATAAGAAGTTGCGCTGCAACGTCAAAGCACTCACGATAAACGCAAAGCAAAACTCTCGGGAGTGAGAACAGGAACAGACAAACGTCATTCCACTTCTTAGCGTACAGGGATATAACAGAACTAACCTGGACGAGAAAGCCCCACCGCGGTGGTCTAGTGGCTAAGATACTGGTCTGCTGACCCACAGGTCACGGGAGTGAATCCCGGCTGCGATGAGTGCGTTTTAGATGGAGACGAAAATGCTGTAGTCCCGCGTGCTGAGATTTCGGTGCGCGTTAAAGAACCGCAGGTAGTCTAAATTTCCGAATACCTCCACTACGGCGTCTCTCATAATCATAAGGTTGTTTTGAGACGTCAAACCCCACAAGCGACGCCAGTATAAAGTGCGCATGACCGACATGACTCCTTTGATTCAGACAGCTCTGCTGGTAGTTCGAAAAATCAATCCCAATCATAGCTACGAATTCTTGTCCAAAATGCTCTTAGCATCGTAAATAAAGTTACAGAATTAGAATACCTTTATTGGCACATAGTCTCCATGTTGTATTACTAACAGAAACTTGGCTACGCAATGAAACACACAGTAATTGCATTGTTCCTCCAGGGTACAAGCTTTTCAGGTGGGACAGACATTCACGAGGCAGCGGTGCTGCTATCATTGTTTAAACTTCCATCCCAACTTGCATGATACAATGTTATGTTCGTGAAACTGTATAGCGTAAGATTACATTCAACAATAGAGTATATATTATTGGTTCAGTATACAGACCACCTGCGTGTGAGCCTCAGTTTCTGGATTTGTTAAGCGATTTTTTTGTGACCATGTTAACGGGAGCAGGAGGTTCATAATGGCCGGAGACTTGAACTTGCCCCACAATGATTGGCAAAATGTTTTGCCAGGTGAGTCTGAAACAATTAGCTGAAAAAACCTTTTGGAAAATAAACTCTCTCATGACCTGGAACAAATTGTGCGTGAACCAACGAGGGTTACAGGTTCGTCGAAGTCATTGTTAGACCTCGTGTTTTTGTCTCAAAACATAACAGACTATGTTTTAAAAATTTAGATGGCCAGTCCGGCCACAAAATGCTGTCTTTTGTCAATAATACTAGTGTACGCAGTTTAGACAAACCGTTCCTTGCGGTAAAAGTAAAGGACTTTAAAAAGGCAGATGACCCTTCCATCATAGATGTTCTCGAGCTCTACTTTAATGATTTTGAGCAAGCAACACATGTTGAATCTGTGGAGCAATTGTGGCAGAGATTCAAGGCCAACGTCGTAGCTTGCGTTGATCGCTTTGTCCCTACTCGTATTAGGAAAACACGTAAACGAAATCCCTGGATAACACGCAGCAATATACATATAAAACGGCTACTCAAGAGATTAAGGAAAAGTAAAAAAAGAGTGACGGAAGTTACAGCTATAAAATCAAGTTGAAAGAAGTCCTTGTGAATTCCAAAAAGAAGTTCTTTGGCCAAACGCTTATGAACTTCCTTAAAAGTTCACCATCCAAATTCTGGCGTTACATCAGGGACAGAAAGGAAAGAATTGAGCAGATAGAACATGAGGGTTGTATCCTGACAAAAGTTGAAGACTTAGAAGATACTTTTAATTGCTTCTTTCAGTCCGTTTTCACAATAGACCACAGCAATAAGATAGAGACTTCCATCAGTAACTGTGCAACAACCGCAATGGAACCTGTTATTATCAACAGCGAAGGTGTTTTTCAGTTACTGCTGGAGCTAGATGCGAAGAAAGGAAGTGTTTCAAATAACCTACCAACAGATTTTCTCAAGAGACAAGCAGAATGGGTCTCGTTTTATTTAGAAATAATATTTGTGAAATCGGTTGAGACGCGATCACTTCCATTAGACTGGCGCAATGCAATTGTGATTCCGATTTTTAAAAACGGTAACCGCTTTTTAGTAAACAATTACCGGCCCGTATTCTTGACGTCGGTTTTATGTAAAATTCTGGGACATGTATTAGCAAAACATATTCTTAGTTTTCTTGATTCTAACCAGTTACTTTGCGCAAGCGAACAGGGGTTTCGGCATGGTCTTTTTACTGTGACACAATTAGCTGAAACGCTCCATAATTTCAATAAAAACAGCGATGCCCTTCTGCAAACTGATGTAATTTGTGTCGATTCTAGGGAAGCTTTTGATAAGGTCTCGCATCGTGAATTACTTTTCAAGCTTGAAAGATCAGGAATAAGCGAAGAAGTATTAAAATGGATAGAGGCCTATTTATCCGCACGTCAACAGACTGTAAAAATTGAAAATTACACTTCAAGACCACTGGCCGTGTACTCGGGCGTTCCCCAAGGATCTGTTTTAGGACCAATTATTTTTCTGATATTTGTTGATGATCTATGTTCAATAGGTGAGGCTCCCATTAAAATGAAACTTTTGTAGATGACTGCTTGATTTATTCTCCTGTTACTTGCGAAGGGGACCAAATTAAACTGAACAGGTGCTTACAGGCATTAGATCGGTGGTGTATTATATGGGACATGGAAATAAACTATAGCAAGACGACATATACGCATATTCATTCTAGTGGGTGGGAATTATCATTCATGTATTACATCGGAAGTCACCCTTTAAATAATGCCGATTGTTTCAAATACCTAGGAGTTAGTATTATGCACACATTGAAATGTCACTCGCTTGCATATCGATAACATCTGTTTTAAGGCCAAGAAAAAACTGTATTTCCTCAAAAAACTGGAACATGCTACACCAGATGTAGAACTGCTTATAAAACATTCATACGTCCTGTCTTAGAGTACGCTAGTATTGTATGGTCGCCTCACCAGAAGGTGTTGTGGACAAAAATAGAAAGGACACAAAAATTAGCAGTTGGTTTCATATGCGGTAGATACCGACGCACACACTCAGTCACAGCTCTGTTAAAGTCCTGTGAGCTTGAGTCTTTAGAATATCGCAAGCGAAAACACCGCCTCAAATTTCTTTTTAAGATGATAAGCGGGCAAACAAAGATAAATAAAAATTTATATATTCAGCCTCCTGGAAGGCGATGTGATCGTCTTAATAATATTAGAGCAATTAAACCTTATTTCACACGCAAGAATGCTTTCCGCCACTCCTTTTTTCCAGACACAATAGATATGTGGAATAGTTTAGCCAATGCGGTTGTGCAACAAACAACACCAGTGGATTTTGAAAATGCATTGAACGGTTTTCTTTGTAGCGATGCGTACTAAATTCTGTTGTCAGCAATTATTCGTTGATTTTTACGTGTGTGGTCACTGTTGTTTGTTTCTTATTTTTATTGTTGGTTATTCATCTCGTGTTTATATGTGCTTTTGAATTTTCCTTTTTTGTGCAAGCGTTATGTACCTAGCGACACCCTCCCTGTAATGACCCCAAGCATGGGGTTGACAGTATCAAATAAATAAATAAATAAATATCAAATCAACCTGGACGAGAAAGCAGAACGGCTTAGTGAATCGCATTGTTGTCCTGTTCACAGGCCCACTAACAGCGCCTACCACCCTGTTCTTGGCCCATGTCCTTTTTGGGTGAGCGCCATCCATACGACATCATCGTCCCCCTCCTGTTGATGCACTTGGTGAGTTGTTTGTCCTTAAGCCAACGATAGCATTGTTACTTAAGGGGTTGGGGTCTTTGAGCGAATGCTGATATGCACTGTACCATCCTTGTCGTGACTTCCAAAAGTATAGCAGTTTCTACGCGCACGTCCAGAGTGATCCCACGTGCTCAAATGTTTGCCTGCCATTTAGACTAGGTAAGCGGTATGATTTCCGAAAGTAAATTTGTGGTTCCTAGTAGTAATTTGTGGTGTCTTTTTTGGCTTTTCGTGCTCACGTGTAGGACCGCGTTGCATAAAAGCTCTTTACCGTCTCGTGAAGCAGCATATGCCCATAAGGTAAAAGTAAGAGTTTAAAGCTTCCGAGATAACTGCGATATTCAGCATGGATTGAGATCGCTTTCAAACTCAGATTTTACACTGAATGAGTGTTAAAACAAATTAACCACGGTGCGTCAAGCAGGGAGAGTCACTTTTTTGTAGCACCCTCTTGCAGCTCATCACATTGCTTCGTCCTATTTCCTATTCATGCAAACGTGACACAGCGTACTCACATGAAGGATCTTGCAGCCATTGACGGCCGAGCAGCCTTCAAACATCCGCAGGTTGTGGGTGGCAAAAAAGCTCCGAGCCACCGTCTCCAAAAACTCGACGCCTACCACACGAAAGCCGTGGTCGTAGAACCTACACAAATGCCACTTCTGCAGTGATTTCAGGCTTTACAAGTGACCACAGGGCAGATAAATTTCACATGGCTACATGATATTCTACCTGTCAGTGCACTGCGATATGTCCTCATGGAATTAAAATATTGTCGCGTTGCTCAGTTAGAATCATTTCATAACACTCAGCTCCAAATTACACGAAAAAAAGGTTAATGCGCTTAAAGCAATCTGCATATCACTCCGACAGGTATACAGGTACTGCAAATTCTGCGGCTGCCAATCTATGATTACTCCTTTATAGCGACACCCCTTTTATTTTTATTTCTTTTTATTTATTTATTTTCAAATATTGACTGTAGCTGTGGTGGGCAAGTGGTGCAGGCCATTGGGCTACAGTTTTTTCTTAGTCACGCACTCATGTGTTTTTTGCGCTCTATGTAGTGAAAGTCATTTTACTCAGAACGCATTCTATGACGAGCGTAACGTCACAATACCCGTGCCAAAGGGTCCTCTCTAAAGGCGCCAATACACTTTAACGTAACCTGGCGCAATGTTTATGGTACAACTTATAAGAGTACTTGCTTGGGCGAGTTCACTATTCACTGTTACTTTATTGTGCACGGATTAAAAGACCAAGTGCCCGTGGAATTCTTCATTCCAAGTGGTGGCCTTTAAAGCTGTGCGCAATAACGTAACGATGGATTGTGGTACGCTACGCCAGCAGGTCCGTCACGCTAGGCGTATGTCTATCTCCCTTCAGTTGAGTGTCATGCACTTGCAGCGGCTGGAGTAGCGCATTCGCCGCCTTATGCCGCCTGTCCTGAAACATCAACAAATCTGTAGGGTACTCGCCCCGCGGAGGCGAAAAAAGAAGGCACCTATACACTCCTTGAAATTTGGGCCAAGACTGGTTTATTTTTCCAAGAAAAACAGGCTTCGAAAGCGACAACCGAAAGGGGCGTGGCTGCGTATCTTCCGCGGCCCTCCGGAGATAACGTGAGGCATGTTGGCCGCGTCTGCGTCGTGCGCCTCGGCATAGGAACTGGTATGCGCACACAAATAAAATTATCCCGATCACCGGCGTCATCGCCCGCAACAAGGGGTCCCCCCCCCCCCTAGACCGCAGAGCCTGGGAAAAAAGGAAAAAAAACGAGCAAATGTGCGAGTTAGTCCATGAGGTGAGCCGGTTTCACGCGATCGAGAGAAACGACGTCCTCTCTGTCGCGAACAAAAATGGTCACAGATTTGTACAACCGCGAAAGCACACGGAAGGGCCCGTCGTACGCCGTGGTCAACGGCGCTTTCATTGTGTCACGTCGCACGAACACATAAGTTGCCTCATTCATGTCTGGGAAAGAAAACACTCTTTGGTTGCGGCTGACGCGTGGCGCGCTGGGTTGCAGGTGCTTCAACCAGGAGTGTAGCCTTTCCATATGTTCTGAAGGCGTCAGCGTAGCGCTTGGTTTCTCCCCGAAGAATTCTCCCGGTAGTACGGACTGTAGAGCCGTACAGCGTTTCTGCTGCACAAAATCCAAGGTCTTCTTTTATCGCCTTACGCAGGCCTAGAAGAACGAGAGGGACCTTCTCCACCCAGTGCTCTCTATCGAATTTGGCCATTAACGATGCCTTCAGTTGACGGTGTAGCCGGTCCAGCATTTCATTGCTCGCTGGATGGTAAGCCGTGGTGTACTGAAGCCGTGTTCTCAGAAGCCTTGCCAGCGCAGAGGATAGGTTGCTCTGAAATTGTCGTCCATGATCGGTCGTTATGCGCAGTGGGCAGCCATAGCGTGAAACACATGTGGCCACAAACGCCTGTGCGACGGTCCCAGCTGTGATGTCAAGAATCGGCGTCGCCTCGGGCCACCATGAGTAGCGGTCGACCCAAGTGAGCAGGTATCTGTAACCCTGGGAAGGAGGAAGAGGTCCCACCAAGTCCAAGTGCACGTGGTCAAAACGACACTCTGGTGGCAGAAATGCTTGGAGTGCTGTGCGCGTGTCACGAGTCACCTGACATGTTCGGCATGTCTTCGCCCAGCTTCGAACGTCGGCGTTAACTGCGGGCCACACAAAGCGGTCAGTGACGAGCCTCTGGTTCGCCCGGATTGCTGGGTAGCTGAGGTCGTGAAGGCTGTCAAACACTGCACGCCGAAACCGGACAGGGACGAAGGGTTCAGGAGATTTTGAGATTTGTCGCATGTGACCATAGTCGTTGTGTATGGTAGCGGGATCTCTTCGAGCACCAGTGACAGTGGATTCTGCCTCATGTCACCTAGCTCTGGGTCTTCCCGCTGGGCGGCGGCCAACGTCTCAAAGTCGACGGACGCTGAAACGGTGTCGATGCGGGAGAGTGCGTCGGCTGCTTGGTTTTCGCTCTCCGCTATGCGGCGGATGTCCGTGGGAAATTCGAAAATGAAAGAAAGTTGGCGCAGTTCTCTTTCCGAATATGAGGAGCTGTTGTTCTTGAACGCATACGTCAGCGGCTTGTGGTCCGTTAAAACGTCGAAAAGGCAGCCTTCTAGGAAAAAACGGAAATGCTTTACGGAGGAATAATTGGCCAGTATCTCTCTTCCAAAGGTGCTGTAGCGCACTTCCGCCTGTTTAAGACGTTTAGAAAAGAAACCTATCGGTTTCCAGTCCTTGCCGTCGTATTGTTGCAACACTGCTCCCACTGCCATCGTTGAAGCATCAACCATGAGCCGCGTTGGCGAGTCGGAAAGCGGGTGCATCAGAATTGTTGCGGAGGCAAGCTGAGTTTTCGCGTCCTGGAAGGCTTTTTCGTGCTCTGCTGAACAGTGAAACTCGGGCGTTTTCTTGCCGTCCCAGCACAGCAAGTCAGTTAGCGGCTGTAGAATGTGTGCACAGGATGAGATGAAGCACCTATGGAAGTTTATTAAACCGAGAAACTCGCGCAATTTGTGGAAAATCTAGGCGTGGGGAATTTCATGACTGCTTGAACCCGTGATGCGAGCGGCAAGATGTCTTGCGGGCTGATTCGATGACCTAAGAAATCTAGTGCTTCAATGCCAAAGATGCACATTTGGGGCTTGAAAACCAGACCGTGCTCGTCAAGACGCTTGAAGAAGAGGCGCAGGAGATTTTCATGCTCCTCCGGCATATTACTGGTGACCAAAATGTCGTCTAAGTAGACAAAAACAAAGAGCTGTCTGCGAGTGACCTCATTCATGAAACGTTGTAAAGTTTGTGCCGCGTTCTTCAGTCTGCACGGCATACGAACAAATTCAAAATGCCGAAAGGCGTTGTCAAGGCCGTCTTTGGGATGTCCCTTGGTTCTACTTGAATCTGGTGATAAGCGGCCATCAGATTCAGCCTAGTGAAGAAGGTCGTTCCCGCGAGGTGAGCGCTGAAATCATGGATGTGGGGAAAGATATGGGTCTGCCGTTGTCACAGCATTGAGTGCCCGATAATCACCACAAGGCCGCCAGTCACCAGACTCTTTTTGTGGCACCATGTGGCAGCGCGGAAGACTAGTTGTTGGAAGAAGGTAGAATAATGCCGAATTGGAGCATGTGGTCGAACTCACGGCGGGCGACTTCGTGTCTTTGTCCAGGGAGTCTCCTAGGTCTAGCTGTGACGGGCGGTCCGGTGGTGACAATGTGATGCGTCACCTTGTGTTTGATTGGCAGTTCGGTGTTCCGAGGTCTGGTGATTTAAGGGAATTCAGCCAGAATCTTTTGGAAGTTTGACTCTGGGTTGAAAGTGGAAATGCCGCATGAGGACAGGTCAGACTTCAGTCCGATAACCGTGAGCGAAGTGACGTTGTCCTTGAGACGACGATCGCGAACGCTGACGTCAAGATTGAAGTGGCTTAGAAAGTCCGCTCCCAGGATGACAATTCCGACGTCGGCCACAACGAAGAGCCATCGATATGTACGCTTGAGTCCGATGTCTATGGTCATTGACTGGACTCCATATGATGCAATAGCAATATTATTGACTGCAATTAGGATCGAAATGGACTTGCTGCCCCGGCGATGTTGAGCTGCTGGTAGGATTACATAGCTCCGCTCCGGTATCGACAAGGAGGCGTGTGCCGGTGATGCGGTCGACAACGAAGAAGAGGCGGCTTGAACGATGGCCCGTGTCGCTTTCCGCCGTTAGCGACTGGCCGGTGCGTTTCCCGTCCACGAGCATAGATGGGTGCAGCGAGTGGCTTGCTCTCTAAAACGACGGTGGTACCAGCAGATGTTCTGCTCTGCCTCGCTTGAGTGTCCGCGGTGCTGCGGGCTTCGAGCACGGGACGGCGAACGATGTCGTGCCGGCTGGTGTTTGTTGGACAGGGCGAGGTTTTCAACTGCTGCACCCAGTCGGTCATCTCTGTTCTCTAAGCGACCTAACCAGGTCTGCATGTTCGGGCCTTCCCGTTGCAGCAGTAGGCATTTTGGTGGCTCAGTGCAGTCGGTCATGCGGTCGGTGAGTTGAGGCAGACGTTCGAGAGTCAAGTCATCCGAGCCAGCGAGTATCATCCGTGTTGACTGTGGCAGTCTCTGCAAAAACAACTCGCGAAGCAATGGATGTTGACGCTCCTCTGACGCTTGTTGGCCCAGGAGCTGACGCATTCGGTGAAGTAGTTGTGAGGGACGCTGGTCACCGAGCTCTTCATGAGACAGGAGTAGTTGCAGCCTGCTCTGTTCGGACACCTCAAGACGTTTCAGGACGGTGCTTTTTAGTTCGTCGTACGGCTCCTCCGATGAAGTGGAGGCGTCAGTGAAGTCAGATGGCAGTGCTGACACCACGTGCAAATATTTCGACTGCTGCGATGTGATGCGTCGAAGCTCGAAGCGGGCCTCGATTTGGCTGAACCACACTCTGGGGTTTTCGGGCCAGAAATGAGGAAGCGTTAACTCCGAGGCGTTGGTTGTGGGTGAGCTTAGAGTGCCTTCCTATTCTGACATGGCTGCTGTTTTTCCAAACGTCCGGTTCACAAGTTTGTTGCGTACTCGCGCCTCGGAGGCGCGAAGAGAAGGCACCTACACTCCTTGAAGTAATGACAAGACTAGT